AAACACATAATCAACTTGGTCTGGCCTAACTTTAATAAAAATTTATTTTTTTAATTTTATAATTTTATAGAATTAAATATTATTCAATTTAGTTTAATAGTTATTGAGATATTTTAATTGAAAATTAAAAAACTTTTACTTAGAAGAAATCTCCCCCTTTCTATTGAAAAGCCCCCACATGTTTCGAATTTATGAGCAGTTAATAACTTTCAACAAGAATGGAAGATTGTCATCATGAAATATTGGAGGAATATAAACTACTATGTACCTTTCATTCAGAAATATTTCCTACAAACAAAAAATGTTTATGCTGTGAAGTTGTTTCATGATTCCGAGTACGTACATGGAGATCTTGATAACAACATTATGATCAAATACGAAATGGAGAAATCGATATAAAATTTGTAGATTGGGCGGAAAGAAAGGGGGAGGCAAAGTATTCTGAAAACCTGAAACAGTGATATAGCCCAAATTATTTGGGACGTCTCAGGCCATGCGATAATTAGTATAGCATAGTTTCGGCAATGGAAAAAAACAGCTACACTGATTATCACATCTATAGTCTGAATCCTACGTACTATTAACTGGCATTCAAATATTGGCTGGTACAGATTCTCATTTAGTTGATGGTATTTATCTCGATATAATGTCTAATAATGAACTTAATGAACCCTCAAAAAGCAACGGAGCCTCACAGAATGGGTGAATTAATCAATACTTACATTTTATCTTAATATATGTAGCATTTCTACGTATTATTATCATTTACATGCATTGGAAAGCAGCACGAATAAAACTAAAATTGTGCTTTAATCAAGGCTAAAATAATTGATCACATCGTAATAAATTTTATGAATGTGGATTATTTTTAGTGCTCAATAAATCTCATGTTTCAACTTTATACTGTGTGTACTTTCAACATGGCGGATCTCTGAAGATATTCTAATCCTTCTTAGCTCTGATTCCGATAAAATAACAATATCCAACATTGGTAGATTTATCTGCGATTAGCAGATCTACGCATAATTCGAACGAATGATCGCATATTTGTGTAGGATAAAAGGGAATATACGATGTGTAATCTGAAACAAATCAACAGATTACGCTTCTGCCGATTTACTTGCTAAATATTGAACGATTCGTCTAAATACATACGTTATCGCGCACATATATGTTTACGGGTATTTAGCAGCAATTAACTTTCTTTTATACATTCTAATACTTATTAAAGATTATATTTGAATGATCTTGATCATGAAATTAACGATTAAATTAAAAAGATCGATTATGACCATTTAATATTCTTTATGTCATTGAAGTAATAAATGCATTCGATATGGACATCTTTTGGAATCATTCATATTAAAAAGTGATTAATCAAGAAAATTTTAACAGTAAAATTCTTAGAATTAATCACATGACAGTTATTATCATTGTATCAAAGTCTTCAATAATTGGCAGCCACTTCATGGAATATACAAAACGGAAGTTATTTATGATGACCTTAAAAAGCTGACATAAGAAATAAAATCCTCAGGATGAAAGAATAGGCCATCTTAAAGCTAATGATATACATGCAGCATATGAATAATTAGTCTATGTCATCAAATATCCTTTTATGCATGTATGTATATTTTCAAATTCTAATACGTATTTTAAAAACATCAATTACCTTATTAAACATTTGATTTCAAGAGGATATTGCACATATAAACCTTTTAATAAGAAAACCAGGTCCTGTCACAAGGATTATACTTTATAACGTTCAAAATGAATTCTTTTACTAAAAATCAAATAATAGTTAAGTTATGATATTGGATGTGGTAAATAAGTCAAATAACAGAAATTATAATTTAATAAAACCTTCAAAAGTAAGTTCTTTTAACCATTCGGCTTTTTCAGCCTCGATTTCCTCACAAACCCTTTTGTTCACTTGCTGCTGCCACATCATGTCATCCTCATGTCTCGCTTTGTGGTTGTCATTAAATGGATTAAAACCCAACATACACTCAGTAATCGTTACACCTAACGACCACCAATCTGCCTTAAAATCATATTCTACAGCATTCTCAATGACTTCTGGACTCACTATGCCATGCTTGTTAATTTTTTTGCCATGATTTTCAATTAAATAAAAGAGAATATAATACTTACTGTAATTCAAGGTTCCATAACATTCTGTCGGTTTATCTGCCACGTAAGCAGAAAGTCCAAAGTCAGAAAGTTTAAAATAAAGTGGCTCATGGGATGCGACTAAAATATTCTCTGGTTTGATATCCAGATGGATCACACCTGCGCTGTGAATATGCTATATAAAAATATATTAAACAATGTAATTAAACTTTTTGACTAAACACAAAAAGTTTAACTTACATCCAGCGCAGATACCATCTGATACATAAGGGTTAAGATATTTTCGTGATCAAATTTAAATCTACCATCAGTTATTATATCCTGGATAGAACCAAACACGCAACTAACAATAACAATAATATAATGTACGACATGAATGTCCATTGGTTGTATTATTAATAATACAAGTATAAATCAAAGCTTACAGTTCCATTAAAATATACTGATTAGGTCTGCCAACGTATCCAAATGCATTATAGAAATTTACGATGTGATCGTGTTTTCCAATCTCGCTCATGATTTTTGCTTCCCATTCTAGTGTTTTTTTTCGATCCCGGTTTTCTTTTAGAGCATACTCCATTCCAGTAGATATGCTAACCACATGATAAACTCTACCGTATCCACCGCTATATATATATAATAAGAATAATAATGATAATAATAATAATAGTAATAATAATAAAAATAAAGTTTACGTTTAAAATCTGTCAATTATTATGTAGAGTTCTTTACTCACAATCCAAGTAATTCACAAAATACGTAATGGTTATGACATTGCCAGGGTTCATGTGGTTCATGTGGTGCAGTTGAAAAAGCCCCAGAATAAAAATAAATAGGCGTGGTTGATTCAGATGTAGTGCCAAGACGATCTAATATAGATGTCATTGTTTGTGGCGTGGCTAAAGTTGCAGGTTCGATTGAAACGAAACTGTTAGATGATACGTCGCTAAATTGGGTGGATATCGAATTCGTTCGTAAAGCAGCAAGACGTTGTAAAATATTGTCCTCTTCACTTTGTAACAGATTCTAAAGCGATGTGAATTAGTATTATTAATTTTTTATTTAAATTTATGACTTTTATGCTTACAAAAATTTTATCACAATCACAATTTCTTCGTCTCACTTTGATAAAGATAACTATTATTGAGATAAAAATTAGTCATTTATTGTTTTCAATTAATACATAAAAGATCACGTATTTACTTACATTTAGCTTTAAAGTCAATTAAGTCTACATAAAAATGTGAATTATATGGAAGTTCGGTTCTGTCACTTTTACGAATTTCTGTCATCTTAATTGATTTTTTATTCGTGGTATTGCAATTCTCTGTCATAGACAATTTAGTTACATAAAGACTCATATCACTAAGAAATTAAAACAAATTATATCAATTTAATTTTAAATAACCACGGAATTAGAATGTCAATAAATTAAAATATAATATTAGCCTCAAATTTGTTACTTCGACGCCATGCTCAGAATCCTAAAAAAGGTAATTGATGTTTTTAAAATACGTATTAGAATTTGAAAATATACATACATGCATAAAAGGATATTTGATG